TTGATCGGTCGAAAAATGTGCGCGTTTTATATATTTAGTAGTGTATTTTTATACACTATATTTATTCGCATGTTTATATTTTTTTCGACTTAATTATTATTTGGATGGATTCATACACATTGATATTTTTATATTTATTTTCAGCTCATTGAAATATTTTGTGGATCCGGAACATTGAACGAGTGATCGCGAGGTTGGGCCCCCAGATTATTTACGGCCCAAACACATGATTAGAAGAAGAAATAAAGCCCAATTACAAAAATGATCCACGCAACCACTTTAAAGAATACAATTCAGAGGAGTTTGATTAGGTGGGGCCGCAGGACTTAGGAATTTATTTGGATTAGACATATAATTTGGAGAGAGTCCACAAATGCTTGGACACATACATAAGCAAGGATTTAATTGGTGGACAATACATGGACGGAAAAAAATTATATTACGAATTGGAGATTGCGAAGAGAGAAGACACGCCAGGAAAAAAAAAGAAAGCCGCAAGCAGAAAAGAAAATAAGGAGAAGAGAAAGAGAACTCACACGCGGAGGGAAGCCGCAACCGCATACGAGGGAGATAGCTATTCTCTCTTTTATCTTTTCTTTATTTTTATTAGTATGTTAGGCTAGAATTTTATCCAGTTTTAGGGGATGTTTGAACCCTAACTTTGATTTGTCTATGGATTGAAGGATTTATTTTTATCGTTGATTAATCGAGACGTCGTATTTATTTTTGTTGATGAGTTGATTCATGCTATCTGTGTTTAATGTTTATGAATTATGGTGTTTGATTTGGTTTGGCCAGCTAGGTTGAATATTCATAGTTTAATTGCTAGATTCGAGACGTTAATCCGTAATTGTTACTGTCTCGTTTCGTTAGTAGTAAACTAGGGGTCGTGCATCTCTAGGGTAGCCTGAGCATAAGTTAAACGGTCCGAGCTTTTGCGTCCGTTGCTTAGACTGATCTATTTTCCTAGGAATTAAAGCTGCTAGTGAATTAAATCTAGAGAGCTTATTCTAGGTTGTCCACTAGTTAGGTTTAGTCGAAGAGCTTATTTCGATTAAATATTCAGTAAGGGAAAATTCGGTTAACAGAACTTGTTGTTAGCTAGGGTCGGTAATTCATTAGCAATTTAAAGAAAGCGTCGAAATTAATTAACGGTAGATTTAGATTGGGTGATAACTGAACCGAAAAACTGGACTTCTCTCATTTTATTTGATTTTTATTTTATTTTCTTATTTTTATTTTTATTTTTATAAAACCAATCCCCCATCCTTTATTTGCTTTCGTAGTTTAATTCAATTAATACGAGATTGTCACAATTTAATTCCTACTCCTCGTGGGATTGACCCTTACTCGCCGCTACTACTAGTTAGTAGAGGTTAGTTGAGGAAAATTATAAATTTAAATTTGCCGTGTAACGACGCGCGGTCACTTACAGACAGAAATTAGGAAGTAATTTAACATGATGATAGATAGAGTTGTTAAACAAATTAAGCTGTCGGTAAACTCGGCTTAGTAAAAGTTAAACAAATTATGAGATGAACTGAGCTCAAACCCGTTCAATTTACAAGTCAAACTTAACTACTTTAAGGTTCGAGAATATAAGTTTTTATTTAATTCCTAAAAGTTTTACTCAGCACAATTTATCAAGACACGACGACTTGATAAAGAGTGTTGCTTGATAAAGGCTAAACTTTGAGTTCGAGTACCTGAAACAAGAACTTGAAATGACTCCTTTGCATCTCTAGTGGTAGGAAATAAAAAAAGGAAGAATTAGCTCGTTATATCACGACTTTTTCTCAACTCACAAAAACATCACGATTTTTGCACCTTGGTGCAGAATATCATGACATTTGATTTCTTTGCAAAACGATACACCAAAGTTAGAAATCAGCCAAGAAAAAGAGGGTTAGAAATAGGCCATCGATTTTTACGTCTCCGACCAACCTTTTACTATGTGGAATTAAAAATCTGATGTGTAAATCTGACATGGAAAACTTGTATGAATTATAGTAAAGCTAACAAAGTCTACTGTTTTTGTCTCTTTTCATCCGCATTTATAAATAAATATAAAAAAAACACTATCACACAGTGAAAAATATACAGACACCACGCCCAATTATTATTTTTTTTCATGGCTCCCACACCAGTTTTTCCTTTGTGACAATCCAGCATACCTCAGTCTCTACACCAAATTAAAATGTTGAGTCCTTTACCTTTCTTGATTTTCCTCACTTTTTATGTTTTGATTTTCACTCTGCGTGGTTTGGAAGAGTTCTGACCACGTCAATGGCAGCGAAAAGCATTGGAGCCCCATGAAAATCTAGCCTTTAGATGTAGGGAAGCGTACTAATGGGAAAGATAAACGAGATAGTCTCTCGGTAAAACTCACAAAACGCCAAAAACGTAAGGGGAGTTGAATTTGAGAAAATAAAATATATGTTCTTGCGTGTTTTCTGAAGAGAGAGTATCTCTTTTATCCCGTTCTTATTCACGTTCTACATCACTTTAGCCTTGAACGACGATGGGAAGGTAGACGTACAACAAAAACAAGAAAATGATTACGAGCCCAACTTGAAAAAATTTGCTTGTTCGATGCTTCTCGAGATCTTCCTCTCAGGCTCGCCAAAATGGGACACCCTCTTCAGCGAGCGCAAGGATTTTGGGGATGGCCTGGGTGGTAAAATGAGGTCGGGCCAGGAGGACAGGAAGTCCCTCCCGGCGCCTCCATCCACCTCCCATTGTCGGTGGGCTGGTTGGGCCACTTCTGGGCCCGGACCGACTGCTCCTTTGACGCTGTCACAAGTGACAACTGCATGATGGGGAACTGCCCCAACGGGCTTAGGTGCGCAGGCGCCCCGTCTGTCAGCCAATGGAGTTCACTATCGGCTGCGCCCATGACGGAATGGCGGAGGACTTTTACGACGTGAGCTTGGTTGACGGGTACAACGTGAGTTTTGGTGCGGCCGTCGTCCTGCGCCTCCGGCGACTGCTAGTATGCTGGTTGCGTGGTGGGGGTGCCGAGACAATTGGGGGAGAGAAGAAATTAAAGTGAGAGCGAATTGGGGGAGGGAGATAAGAGAATTGGAAAAGTAATTGGGCAATTTATACTCATTTTCCATGTCATTCTACATGTAGAACAAGTATATATACATTTCTGACTTCGGTGTATTATTTTGCAAAGAAATCAAATGTCATGATATTCTGCGCCAATGTGCAAAAAATCGTAATATTTTTTTAATTTGGGAAAAGATGGTGATATAAAGAGCTATTTTGCCATTTTGATGAGACGGTAGAATCTGCAAAAAAAGGTTAATTCTAGGGGTCGTTATGCTAAATATCCAAAATATTCGACTTGTAATAACCAATAAGAAAAAGCCACGCGGTCTCGGGCTTCTATATAATGAGAAAACATTGCTTTACCTTTCGCAATCCCACAACGTTGTCTGTTCCAATTGTGTTCTTCGTCGCAGTTCAATTTAACCTTTCCTTTTTACGATCGAAGGAGATTAGTCTCGGTTTCAATCTCATCAGGTTTGCTGCTTTCTGATTCCGTTTTATAGCGAGCTTTTGATTTGTGGATTTGTTCAACCGATTCATCGCGATCGATGGGTTTTCTGCAATCGGCTATGGTCGGATCGGCTTCGTCGGATCCATTGTGGCTGTGCTTGAGTGCTTGGGAATTTTGGGTTTCCTTGTTCAAGTCTTTGTTTTGTCGGATTATCTAGGTTTATTAGCCTTTACTCTTTTGTGTTTTCGCGATTTGATTCGAGTAATTTCTGCCACGCGCGTGGTCTTAATGGGGCTCCGTTGATATTCCGAACGGTTATGGGTTTTTTGATATGCATATTATAGGAAGTTATGATCTTGGCTCTGGTGAAGATCATTGTGGTTATGTTGACTTCGACCAAAAGTATGTTGGGTTTCTAGGATTTTTCTGTATGTCTTTTTGGCGGCTCTGAGTAGTCGAGGGATAATTCTGGATTTGGAGATGAGATTTTCGTTCATGGTGGATTTTTGCTACTTATGAGCATTTTTAGGAATTTAACATGGTGGAGAGACCGGGATCTGTATCTGATTGTTTTATTATGCTATTGTGGTTTCGTTTTAAGTTAATGGAGGTCTCGATGACGAGGAAGGTAGCTGTGTTTGACCAATCAATAGGCCAGAAAAACGTTGTCTGCACCTATTGGCTTGCCGGAAGGTGCAAGAAGAACCCGTGTCGGTTTATGCACTGTGAACAGTCTAAGAGTGCCCAACCTAAATCGACGCAGCCTGGAAAAGTGCCTCCAAGAAAGATGACATGGAGGAATCCACAACTCCACAGCCACAAGATCGTTGCAAGTAATGAAACATACACTAACGGCACAATCGGTAATAAGAGAAGGTCACCGGATGATGCTAGCAAGAAAGGTCCCGTGCATCATGAGCCGGCCACTGCTAAATCTGAAAAGTCCAGTGTACAGAAAAATCAGCTAGCACAATGCAAGTACTGGGTTATAGGAAATTGTGTACTTGGAGATAGATGCAAGTATGTACACTCTTGGTTCAGTGGTTCTGGATTTACGATGTTGGCAAAGTTGGAAGGTCATACGAAGGTACTTTCTCAGCAATGAATTTGGTCGGTTGTTTCAAAGGATGTGCATATAATGTAGCTGTATTTTGTTATAGGTTGTACTAATTGAGATGTATCTAAAATGATTTTTCATAGGGCATTAATGGAATTTCCCTCCCGTTCGGCTGTGACAAGTTATATTCATGTGGCAAGGACCGATCAATTCGAGCTTGGAACTGCCACAGCGGACAGGTTGTAATTTCGTGAGTTTTGGAATTATGAAATTTCACGCTTTGTTGAAAATGGTTTGTTATTTATATGTTATGCTTGATTCAGTGTGCGGGTACCTTAACAACTGATGATGAGACCGGGTGTTTATTCTCTGAAGGCCAATGGGTGTTAGTCGGACTGCAAAATAGAGTGCAGGTATGAATTGGTTCCAGTTATAGCCGTGAACTATGTAACGTGGTGTAGTTTTCAGTCCCTTTATCATATTGTTGCCTTATTTTTTTCCTGTTCGTGTAGGCATGGAACATCCAAAAGCAATCTGAGTTTTCTCTTAATGCTCCAGCTGGGCTAGTTCGTAGCTTGGTCAGTGACGATGCAAACAAGCTGTTTGCTGGATTAGAGGTAACTTCTGGGATCATTGGCTTGGTTCTATGTAAACTCTGTTTCTTGAACTGATACCTATCTTGATTAATGACTGCCTTTTTCTTTAGGGATCTCATTCTTTGTATGGAAAACTTACTTTTGATGCAGGATGGTACAATATTGGTCTGGACATGGCATCCAGAGACGACCGATTTACCCGAACCTGTTGCAATGCTGAAGGAACACACAAGTGCTGTTTGTTCACTTGCAGTTGGATCAGGAAATAGACTTTACTCAGGGTCGAAGGATTGTACCGTAAAGGTACATATCTATAATATATCTGTAGTTACTCGATAGTCTCGCTTACAAGCACAAATTTTGTCTAATCATAACTTAAAACTAATTTGTTCATTTTTGAACACGTAAATTTTTTAGGTGTGGGACCGCGAGTCTTTTCAATGCCTGCACTTTTTAGGTGTGGGACCGCGAGTCTTTTCAATGCCTGCACACGTTACGTGGGCATGTAAGAGACGTTATGTCCGTACTTTGCTGGGACTCCTACTTGCTATCTGCTTCTCTGGATAATGCAATAAAGGTCTGGGCTTTGAATGAAATCGAGACCATTGAGGTTGTTTACGAGAGGAAAGAAGATTCTGTAAGTTCGATTTATTACTGTATTCCTGTTAAAATACTAAATAACCAATACCTTTTTTTGTTTTTGGCCCTAGCCCTGTGATGTGCCTATAAAAGAAAAGAAAGCTGAAAGCTCATGTTACTGATTTTTTTTTTGTCCTTTTTTTTTTTTTTATTTAGNTTATTTAGGCGGTGATTGCCCTTTGTGGGTTAGCTGATGGAGAAAATAAGCCTATTCTATTGTGTTCGTGTGATGACAACACAGTCCGCCTATATGATATGCCATCGTGAGTTTCTCACACCCAACTGATAAAACGTCAAAAGCTTTTGGCTTCATTCATCTTTTATTTTTTGTTTGCTGATTACCTGTGTTTATGTTCCAAGATTTACGGAAAGGGGCAGAATTTTCTCAAGGGGGAGAGTTGAGGTGATTCAGACGGGAATCAAGGGCTTGTTTTTCACCGGTGATGCTACCGGCGAGATTGCGGTATGGCAGTTGATTGGGCTTCCAAATGCAGCTACTGCATGAAACATTGTTAGTTTTGAGGACACACCACATTTTTTTGCCTTTTGCTGTCACTCAGAACATTTGATATTTTGTAATTTATTATGTAAGAATAAAGAATCTGATTTGTAGCAAACATCTTCCGGTTGTATGTTATCATTACGTAATTTCATAAATGTTAATTTTTTTTTTTACATCAAATTTTTTGCCATGAAATTTATTGTCCCTGAAATGTCTTTATGCTGTTTGCCTTTTCAATTGCTGACTATTAGGGTCTTTTATGAACGTTCCTTTAATCTCCCTGGTCATTAGTGCCATACATTGAATTTCAAAACCTTAAAAAAGTACCTAGAGTCTTCCATCACAACACTGCAAACTTTATTCGACTCTTCCGTTTCTCTATATTGCAGTAAATTGTCAATTTGTCATTACTTTCTTGATTGCAATTTGCCTAACTATGAAAATATCATATTTCATAAATAAAAGTATGGTGAAATATTATACTCCAAATATGACCTTTTGCTTTGCTTTTTCTTTTTGCAAATATCATATTTCATATTTGCAATATGCCTACGAAAATTTGTTGATTTTGCTTTTTATTTTTTTCTAAATATGACCTTTTGTTAATATAAAAGTAATATTTTTATGTGAACTTTGGGATGGCCTTGATAGTTGGGGTGGACTAACATCATTATTACTGAATGCACAAGCTGCTATTAGGAGTCATAACAATCAATAATCACACGTTTTTCAATAGATAATCATATATGCATACTTTTAAATTAAATGTCACGATCAAATATATAATATAAACAAAAACAACATTTTATAGTATAAATATACACGTTTAATGATAAAAAATATCTCACAAATTCTGTTAGATAGTCTCACACAAAAAATCATGTACCAAAAAACATATTAAACCTCCTTAGCAATTACTCAATAATCTGATTAACCTGACCAGGTCATAATTCCCATCTTCTCCTCTGCTTCTTCATTTATGGTGCAAAGAAAGCAAAACCTAAAGAAAACCGTTGACCCACAAAATAATTTCTTGACGTTTTTGACGGTTATAATTATCATTAGTCCAAGAAAGTGTAAGGTCGTGTCACGCAAACACTACCAACACTAATAACCCATTTGACCCCTTCAATTCCAAAAAACCGCCTTAGTTGAAATTAAAACCCCCACCAACACTCCAAAAAACCCCACTATAAAATCTCAAACAAATTAACCACTCCCTTTATACAATCACTAAACCAACTTTTTCTCCGTTCCAAGAACCACGGCCAAGACACGGCGGAGCATGGCGGCGAGTTTGATGATGACGTTCAAACCGTGCTTTTATTTCGTAATGATTCTTTTGCTTTCTGCCCAGCTGCCGAAAATCACGTGCTCGAGCGTGGAGCTCGAGCATTTTTTCCGAGGTAATAACCGAGCTTGCGACGAAATTTACGTGGTAAGAGAAGGCGAAACTCTTCAGACGATTAGCGAAAAGTGTGACGACCCATTTATCCTGGAGCGAAACCCGCACGTTCACGATCCAGACGATGTTTTTCCAGGACTAGTCATAAAGATCACACCATTTTCGAGTTACAGAAGTTAACAAGTAGTTTTTAATTTGCTATGTACTATGTTAATTTCTTGAAATTCAGTTTAGTTTGTTTGTTGTTACTCCAGAAATATTGATGTCAATATTTTTTTGTGAGGATATGTATGATTTGCAAAAAAATGGGTAGAAATTATTGTTCATGGTTTTTTTTATATGAAGTGGATA